ACACACACCTCCCTGGGCACCTGGGTGGCTCAGATGGTTAAGCGTCTGCCTTTGGCTCAGGTCATGATCCCAGGTCCTGGGATCGAGCCCCGCATCGGGCTCCCTGCTCCACGGGAAGCCTGCTTTTCCCTCTGCCTCTCTCTCTCTCTCTCTCTCGCTGTCTCTTATGAATAAAAAAACAAAACAAAACAAAACACACACCTCCCTGTGTCAGCCAATGTGAGCAATCGGGGCTCCTTTACCATGACTGCTCTATCCTCACTCTGGTCTGGCCTGCCTAGAGAGCGGATTCACTGAGATGCTCAACCATGGAATCGCCCACACGTCCTGACAACACGCAGTCGGGAGTAGGCCCCAGCTTCCACAGATCCTCTCCAAAACACTCATCCAAAGGCCATGTCCTTCTAGGTTCCAACACCTTCATATGAGGATGCCCCATGGCCCCCAAAGGGGTGTCTTCTCTCTCACTGCAACAAGTAATACATCCAGCTTGAATGCCCACAGGTGCTCCTGATGGTCTTAGCTGAAGAACACTGAAGCTTGTTACCCTTTTGTCTGTGAAAATTGTTTTTCTGTTTTTTACTTTGATCATGGACATGTGTTTGTATCTTTGTGAGTGTGTGGATCACATGCTGAAATTTCATGTTCTTCTTTATGGGTTTTCATCATTAGGCCATGCTTAGAGAATTCATCCCACATTGTAAACATTTCTTGTGTATTTTCACCTCAGAAATAAAGAGCAGAGGGTTTCAAGGGTGAAGGGAAACACAGAGAATTGTCTGAATTTTGGCAAAAGTACGGGGAGGAGCAACAGGTAAAAGATTGTAAGGTGGTGGAATCTAAGATGTACATCTCCTTTACTATTCTTACAAGTACGTACAGAGCCTATAAGGTACATGTATTCAATATATCCTCTCACCTGGGCTCAGTGAAGACTTATGAGCCTGCTTATGTTTACCAGGTGCACGCAAACAACACCAAGACATCTAAAGTTAATAGAGATAAAAATAAGCTCCAGTGATGGGCATTTTTCAACACGCATGACCTAGATGTGATACATCATGTTTTGGTTAATGTCTGTACACTTCAGCTGTCATAATACAAGTTAATTACACTTTCATGCTATATTTTAAGGATATTTTTCAGACCCACATAGACAAATCCATGACTTCCTTTTGGAGATAAATTTAATATACATATACCTATGAGTCATACAGTATCTTCTTTGAGGAGGATCCAGAAAACTACGAGCATTCTAGATATGTAATGTCTGAATAGTAGCTATGAGCCATATATGGCTACTTAAATTCATATTCATTTAAAACAATTAAAAATGCAACTACTCAGCACACCAGCCCCATTTCAAGTGCCACCTGCATCTCTAGAACCACATGCATCTCGTGGCCACCATACCGGACAGCGCAGATATAGAACAATTCCTTCCGCACAGAATGTCGTATTGGACGGTACTGCTCTGCACTTTGTGAGCCGCGAGTCAGATGCATCAGACACACGTAAAGTGAAAAGGCCAACATGATTTCTCTTACAGACGACATCAGATTCCATCTGGGATGTGAAGACTTATGAAGCTGGTGGGTCACAAAATCAAAGTCGCATATGCGTGGGTCTGGTGCCTTCGGGTGCAAACTGTTCCCAATTACAAAAGGGAAACCCCCGTCCCCCCACCTCCCTTCCCAGACGGGGGGCCCTCTCCATCATCACATTTCCAGGAGGTGGGTTCTCTTCTAGCTGCACTCGGGGGCTAAAGTCAGAGCTGAGTTTTCAGAGGCAGGAAGTGCAGCTCAGGGAAAGGGATTCTGCTGAGTGAGGAGAGGCCAGGGCAGGACCAGCCGGGAGACTCTCCCAGGGTTATCAGAACAGCCGTTCTCAAAGTGTGGTCTGGGGAACACCTGACGTCACTGAGGCCCTTTCACAGAGTCCATGACGTTAAATCTATTTTCCTAACATTACTTAGACATTATTTGCCTTTTCACCATGTTGACGTTCACACTGAGGTAAAACTTAGCAAGAACGGAGGTGATGGGTGCAAACTGCAATAGTTGTCATTCTTCACCACTACTTACTCCCATAAAAAACCAGAAACACTCTTTCCGCCATCTTTCCGTGCCGCCATATGGTCACATGAATATCTTGGCGGATGGTCTCAAGAGCAGTAACAATGCCTGAGAGAGAAGCGAAAGGCAGGTCCTATTAGCCATGCTCCAAAGTCATCGTCCCGTTTCTAACTGTGAGGACGAAGCTGGGTTACATTGTTGAATTTGAAATCACTGCTGTTCACAGAGCTGGGAACCCCAGGGCAGGTTAAACACATGTGAAGTGAGCAGCCCCAGGTTTGATGTACAACTGAAAGATCTAGAACAATGGTGGAAGAATCTGCTCCCATCCCTCCAGTTTGGTTTCATTGTCCTGACAACCTCAGCTGGCCTCGTGGACCATGGAGAAGCAAGATGAAAACACACAGGAGGGAAAATCCTGGGATTCTTTTTCTAGGGATATAATATATGCATGCAAATAAAATGCCTCAAGAGAAAACGAAAATAAAAATAAGCTAATATTACATTAAAACATCCTGATCGAAGCATTAAAAATTACTATCTTGGGGCACCTAGGTGGCTCAGTCGTTAAGCGTCTGCCTTCGGCTCAGGTCATGATCCCGGGGTCCTGGGATCGAGCCCCACATCGGGCTCCCTGCT